ATCAAGTTCCAATTAACAACCTAACCAGAGAGCTTTAATGTGTTTCCAATCTAGTGGCCTGATAGACTCATCAATTCCTCTGGGAGAAATTAAGAAAATCGACCGCCCCTTGGCGTTGTAGTGTCATTCCTTTCTGCAACTATATGTCAAATTAAAAACACAATTAAAATTTAAACTGTTTCAATCAGAGGGTGCCCTGCAACCTATGTTTCACTTAATAGAACTTTGATGAAAATCTGATGGTTCCACTCCATCATGAAGGCGAATAGAGCTGAGGAGAGCAAGAGATTCTTTATATTTATTTAAAATATTGGAGCTCAGGAGAGCCTAGACCAGGTGACCAAACCTGAGAGAAATGGAGGTTTCATTCCCGTCAAGCTGCCGCTTCCCACGCCCGCGGGAGCGACCGGCGGGGCCGCTCCTCTCTCTGCCCGGGCGACACGCGTGTCCCCGCGGGGGGACGGGCGTCCCACGGCACCTTCTGGCGCGGCAGGGAGTGGGGCCAGGGAGTTTTAAATCCGTGGCATAGCGCTGATCGAGAGGGATTGGCTGATTTGGGCTGTAAAATATGCACGACCGGCTCGGGAGAGCCACGAAGGGCCCCTGGCGCGGACTCTGCTCCCCGGGGTCCCCACGCACCCTGGCCCGGGCCAACCCCGCGGGCTGTGGGGCGGGGGCTGCCTGGGGAAAGGCTGCACGATCTGCACCCCCTTCGACTTGATATCGATCTAAACAGGTTTAGATCTCTTCGTTGGGCAGCTCTGCCGGCTTCCCGGGGATGTGATCACGGGAGAGGTTATTCTCGGCAGCCGCGCAAGGTGCGGAGCGGAGAGAGGCTTGAAAGAGCCGCTCCCCGCACGCGGGGCACACTCGCAACGGGCACCTTCCTCTCCACACGCCCTTTTTTATTTATTTCTTATTTTTGAGGTGGTTCCGAACCCTAAAACCACGCTTTAGGGCAGGTGAAGGTCCACGGGGGCGGCGGCGACAGGTCCCACCGCCCGGTTCCCAATCATATGGAAGCGGCGAGAAGATAATTTGGATGTGCGAGAACAAACCAAGGTCATCAACACCGCCGAAAGAGCGCAGGAACAATAGATTCATTTGAAACAATATTTTACAGACGTTTTACGATCAATATGAACTGAAGCATTATGCTGTACCAATCTGTTAATGCTCTTAATGGTCTTCTCATTCCGTTAGCACACTATGCCAAGTCGATAGAGTAAAGTGATTATTACAGAGACACTTGCAGCATATTTGGGGGGATAAAAAAAAAGAACCCCTAAACCACACAGTTTTTCACCACTGTTTTAAAGCGGGATCATTCCCACGGAGCGGCTCCGTGTGTCCCCACCCTTTGCTGCCCGTCCTGCGCGTCGCAGGCACTGACAACAGAATCAAACATTTCCCACCGACCTGTAAAAGAAAATTTGCGAATATTCGGATAAAAAAAAAATTTAAAATTATCAATAATAATTAGGATAAAAAAACACCAACCTCCCAACGTGGCTCGCCGGGAGCGTGCGGTTGCTGGAGGGGCCGAACGGCTCCGCGCCCCTCGGTCCCTACTTCAGCCCTCCGGGAGGCAAAACTCTTCTGAATCCCCAAATCTGGTGGTTGGGAAGTTTATATCTTCCCCCCCGCTGTTTGCTATACACAGCGAACCTCTATTTACTACCAAATAAAAGAAATACATGTGTGTTTCGACCACAAACAGACGAGCTAGTTCTGTTCAGCCAAGCTCAAAACAGTGGCCGAGAAGAACCGTGTTATCTCTCGAATTGCAAACAAAGGCAGAGATTTGCCGAGCGGGGTTACAGCAGTAAACAGAAGTGGCCGCGGAGTTGCCAACAGACGAGAGGAACGAAGCAACTTTTTTTGAATCGCATCCACCTCCCCGCCAAACAATTTTTGTTTCTGTAGAGACGATTTCTTTTTCCACCACTCAAAGCGATTGCTTTCACTCCAGCCCAGAGCGATGTGGGATCTCCAGAAACTTCAGGCAGGGCCAAAGGTGTGGGAGGAGGGGGGGGGGGGCTCTTGTTAGTCTGTCCCGCTCCTGTCCGGCTCCAGGCCGGCACTCCCCTGCCGGGAGCGGCGCAGCGCATCGGGAAGAGCCGGGGCTGGCGGAGCCCTCGCTCGGTGGGCATCTCCCTCGAAGAGAGACATTAAACAGCTCGTTTCCCGTTTAGCTGAAGTGTTGAGGGATAGGATGGAGTTTGGGGAGACTTTTTAAACGCTTGAGAAAAGCCTGAGCGCCAGGCTCGGCTTGCTGCGGATGCGAACGGAAAGGAGCATCCCTCTCCGAGGCTTCCCTCCCGGCCGGGTGTGGAGAAATCCCGGCTGCGGGAGAGGGGCGGCTTGGGGGGCAGAGAACCGGGGTCACAGGCCCTCGGCCCCCCGCCCAACTTCACCGAGCAGTTTCACAGCATCTGTCAGCTGTCGATGCCGCGGTGTGAGAGGGCAGCGGGAAGCAGGAAAGCTGGAAGCTGGTTAGATATTTTTACTTCTTTTTTTTTTTTTCTTAGTAAAAAAAATAAAATTCTACCGAACTCCATCAACCCCACCAAGATCATCATTCCCATGGGAAATGGCCCTGGCAGGCTCGGGACGGGCAGGATAGGCCAGTGCCCGCTGCTGCCCGCACCCGCGCAAAGGCCGCGCTGCAGGGCAGGGGCCGCGCTGGTGTCCAGCGGCTCCTTCCTCGGCTGGGGAAGGGCCGGGAGGGTCCGGAATCGTTTTCCGGGCACTGACCAGAAATAAATGAGCTTTTTTTCCTTGCCGTTTGATAACATCGTGTTGCCGCGCTGTAAAATGGAAAGACCTATTTACTATGACAACAATATTTTTAATGGGCTGCAAGCGACTTGTCCCAAAGTTGGTACTGCAAACAGCAAAGGCATCGCTCTGTTTGTAGGCGACACAGCCAGCACCGTATTTTGACTCCGAAACTCTGTTTATTTTTCGTTTATGACCCATTGCCAGGGTTTTTATCCCAAACGAAAAGAAAACGCAGGACTATCTTTTCGCAACGCTGAGTTTTATTTTGATTTCTTTGGCCCGAAATCCTGCCCTCGGCGCTATCAACACGTCGATTCGGGCCAATCTGCGGGAAGCGGAGAGCGATCCTATCTCCAAATAACCCTGCCGGGAGTATTAACACGCGTGACGGCTCCGGCCGTGGGCAGAGGGCGCAGCCTGGGGGGGTTGGACACCCTGCGGCAGCCCCCGGAGGAGGAGGGAGAAGGGAAAGGCAGTACCCGGGGGGGGGGGGTGCAGAGGAAGGGGCGGCCAGAAGTTCAGGGGAAGCCCCCGGGAAGGGGAGGAGACCCTCCCGTGGGAAGGGATCCCCCACGCCCGCCCCCGTCCCAGGGGCTTCCCTGGGAGTCTGCAACCCTTCGCTCGGGGTTTCAGAGTTGCCGGAGGTGGGAAAGATCCCCCCGCCCCGTCCCCAATCCGCTTCTCATCGGAGGGGCCTCCGGACAGGCCCTCGAAGGATTCCCTGCAGGGGCGGCTCGGCGCCCTGGCCCTCGCACCCCGAGCAGGGCCGGCAGCGCTCCCAGAAAACCCTTGGGTTATTTTTTGTTTATTTCTTTTTATTATTATTTGTTGTCGTTGCTTATATTTTCTCTCTCTCTCTTTTTTTTTTCCTCATCCAAAACCACACTTAAAAAATGATAAGGAACGGGTTTTATTGATTTTTTTTTTCCACCACAACATTAAGTTTATAACAATATAGGCTGTTTTAAAAATAGGACCGATCCCTAACAGAAAGCGAGAGGGCAGAGAGTACAACCGAAAAGGGGAAAACAAAATTTATAATAAAATAAAGAAAAGGAACCAACCAACCCAAACCCTTGGGAAGACAGCAAACAATTGTCAAACAACAGGTGAGTAGACACTAAGACAGAGAGAGACTAGAGGTGTCCACTCCTCACTTGATTTCTGCCTATTAAAATCCACATACTCAATGGACTTTAGAAGAAAACTGTACATCATACCAAATAAATTAAAATTACCCTAAAGTTGATTGTCCTTCACTTAAAGCGCCCAGCTCACCGAATCTCCCTTATTTATTCGCATGAAGCCAGGCTGATGTTAATTCCCATGCCTTGCTCCTCTCTTCTCACTTTCCTTCGCTTTTAATTCTTTTTTATTTTATTTTGTACAACATGAACGAATGCAGCTTTACAATGCTAAAAACCCTTTCCTCACCATTCAAATAAAAGCAGTGCTTTAAGAATCATCGTACAATATTGCACAGTTCAAAAGTACAATAATATTAATAATAATAATAATAATTAGTATTACAAAAGAAAGCAAAAGGGTACAGATTTTTTTTCTCCCCAAAATACCGAAATAACTTTACAAGGAAGCAAAAACCCAAAACAACCCGACAACTAGGAAAACAAGAATTATGAACAAGAATTAAAAATGTCTAAGTAAACGATAATAAATAAGGGTCACTCAAAGCGCGCGGGTGTATTTAACTGTTCACTTTGAGGCTGTATTTCTTGCTCGTAAAAGTCCCATGACAAAAAAAGAAAGGTACAAAAGGTGGGCAAGCAAAGAGGCAAAGGTCTGCTTAAATGAAAAGCCGTGGTCGATGAAGTTTGAGTCACGACAGGATCAGGAGCCTGAACAATTATTTGGAGGCAGAAGGAGAGGTCCAAAAGGAACAGAAATTCAGCTTCCCGTTAGCGTTTGGCAAATCTCGAGGAGTGGCCTGGGATCATTCCTTTTTTTTTATCATTAATATCATCCTTTCTTTCCCCCTATTTTTTCTTTTTTTTCCCCCCCTTTTTTTTTTTTTTTTTTTTCTTTTTTTCTTTTTTTTTTTTTTTTACAAAAATAAAACTAAAGCCACAGGGACCATCGCGGTTTTCATCCACGTTTACAAAAGGTGTGACAGCTCCAGGGTTCTCTACAAGTTCCCGCTTTCATTTTCCTCGTTTTCCTTTCCCTCCCTCCCTTTTTTTTTTTTCCTAGATTTTTGTGACTTTCCTCCTAACACCACACGCCGAGGGGTACCCCCCACCCCCGCACCTCTCTCCACCCAAAACCTGTGCTCCGCAGACGCCGGCCGGGTGGGTCGCACGAGGGGCTGGAGTACTTACAAGCGGGCGGGTGCCTTGCGCGCCTCTCCGCGCCCCTCCGCGCGGCGGCGGGCGGGCTCAGACGGGCCGCAGGAGCGGCACGGAGGTGACCACGGGGTGGGAATAGTAGACGGGGTGAGGGAAGGTGAGCAGGGGCTGGGTGCCGGGGGCTCCGCCGCCCCCCGCACCCCCCTCCGCGCCCGAGTTCTCGTGGTACAGGATGGGGACGCGGACGATGCGCTGCGCGGCCGCGTGGCTGAGGTTGGCCGCCTCCAGCTCGGCCGCCAGCTGCCGCTTCCACTTGTTGCGGCGGTTCTGGAACCAGATCTTCACCTGGGTCTCTGTCAGGTGGAGGGAGGCGGCCAGGCCGGCCCGCTCCGAGCTGCTCAGGTAGCGCTTCATGTCGAAGGTGGACTCCAGCTGGAAGACCTGGCTGCGGCTGAACACCGTGCGCGTCTTCTTCTTGCGGCACGGCTTCTTCTCCGGGCTCTCCTCCCGCTTCTTCCAGTCCTCCGCGCCTCCCTCCTTCTTCGCCTCCTCGGAGTCGCTCTCCTCCAGGACGATCTCGTCGGGGCTCTTGGAGTCCAGCTCCTTCGGCTCCCCCTCCGCCTTCAGCAGCGGCTCCGGGGAGTCCCGGTCGGTGCCCGAGGCGGGGGACGAGTCCCTCAGCAGGGATTTCTCTGCGGCTGGAGGGGAAGGACGAAGCGGAGGATGAAGAGGGAGGGATAAGGGACACAAAGAGACACCTTCACCATCCGGCCCCCGCGTCCCGTCGGGGGAAATACGGGACGAGCCGGCCGGACCCCCGCGTCGCCCCGCCGACAGGTTCCCCCCCGGTGCCCACCGCGGCCGCCCCGCCAGGGAGGGAGGGAGGGAAGGGAGTTGCGGGGAGCGGTACCTTCGGTGCGGGGCAGGTGGGCTCCGGCCGGCGTCAGGGCGTACGGGTACCACCAGGTCTGGGCACGCTCCAGGCAGTGCGCGCTCAGGGCGAAGCGCGGCGCCGGGATCTCGAAGCGGGGGAAGGCGAGGTCTCCCACCTGCGAGAGGGCGAAGCCGGCGCCGTCCACCGCCGCCTTGCCCGAGGGGGCGAACAGCGCCCGCGGCTGCTTGGGGGGCGCCTTGGGGGGGCCGCCGTTGAGCAGGTTCTTGATGTAGAAGGACTCCTTGGGGGGAGGCGGCGGGGCGCTGGGTGGCTCCTGCCCGGTCTCCGGCATCCTCCGGTGCCCGCCCGGCTCCTGCCCGCCGCTGGCCCCGCAGCCCGGCGCGCAGGTGGCGGCTCCCGGCGGCGCGGGGCACAGGAGCGGAGGGGCGGCGTGGGAGCGCGGCGGAGGGGCCGGCCGGGGGCCCCTCGCATGGGGGGGGCGGCAGGACGGGGGGCCGGGGGGACCCGCGCAGCCCGCGGCACCGGGGGGCTGCTGCGGGCAGGCGGAGAGCCGGGGTCGTCGCTGCCGCCGCCGCCGCCGCCGCCTCCCGCCGCCGCCGCCGCTGCTGCGTCAACCTGGCGCCGGATGCTAATGATGAAATCAAAATGTCATCCCCGCTCCGCGCGGGGAGCACGCGGCGATTGGGCGCGCACAAAGGCGAATGGGATCAGGCGGGAGGCGGCGGGAGGAGAGGGCTCCGCGCAGCCCCTGCCCCGCAGCCGCCGCGGCCCCGGCTCCCCCCCCCGCCCCGACGCGCCGCCGTGCCCGGAGGCGGCGACCGCCCGCCCGTCCCCGGCGATAACAGAGTCCAATGAAGCGGCGAGCGGGGCCGGGCCGGCGGCACAAAGGGACCGGCTCGGCGCAGGGAGCGCGGCGGGAGCGGCGGGAGGCGAATGGCTCGGGACGAGCCGCTCCTGCCTCAAAACCGCGCCCGCCCCGCCGCGCCGCCCCCCGCGCCCCCGCCCCGCACCGACGGCAACAAAAGCCGCCCGCGCCGCAGGGGGGGCGGCGGGACGGGCCGGGCCCCGCCGGGATGCCAGGCACCGGGATACCGGGGGCATCCCTGCGCTGGGCACGAAGGGACGGCTGTGGGCCGGTGGCTGCGGGGCGCCGGCAGGGCTCTCCCCCGACGGTGCCCTCCCCTCCCCGGGCATCCCCGCCGCGCCCCTCGGTCCCCGGCAGCGAGAGCGGACAGCGGGACACGTCGAGTCCGTGGCGGAGGGGCGGCGGCGGACACGGCCCGGGAGCGGCCGCGGTGCTCCGGAGCACGGCCCGGCCCCGCCGCTCCCGGGGGCCGTGTCCGACCCTCCCGGGGTCCATCCCCGCCGCTCCCGGGGTCCAGGCACCGGGCGTTCCCGGGGTGCTGTTATAGGGTGCTCCGGGGGCCCATCCCCGCCGCTCCTGGGATCCATCCCCACTTCAGGGATCCATCCCGGCCATTCCCGAGATCCACCCCGCCGTTCCCGGGATCCATCCCGGCCGTTCCCGGGGTCCATTCCCGGCCGTTCCCGGGATCCATCCCGGCCGTTCCCGGGATCCATTCCCGGGATCCATCCCCGTTCCCGGGGTCCGGGCACAGGGCGCCCCCTACCGGCCCTGGGAGCGCCCCGCGTCCCGGGACGGGCGGTCCCGGAGCCTTTCCCGTTCCGCACGGCACATCCCGGGACACCGGGAAGCGGCGGCTCTGGGCCCCGGGAGCCGCGACGGGACCCCCGGTACGGCGGTGATGCCGCGAACTGCCCGCGGGTACCGCTCTGCCCCCGGGCACTCCGGGAGCAGGTGGGGCCCCCGTTGGGAAGGGAAGGGAAAAGGTAAGGGAAAAGGAAGGGAAAAAGGAAGGGGAAAAGGAAGGCAGGGCATAGGAATGGAGAAAGGAGAAAGTAAAAAAGGAGAAAGGGAAAGGAAAGGAGAAAGGGAAAGAAAAGGAGAAAGGGGAAAGGGGAAAGGGGAAAGGGGAAAGGGGAAAGGGGAAAG